TGTGTGTGTGTCCCACATTTTGTCCCGCACTTTCAACTCGGGAACCACGAAAGCTAGGCGGCTGAAGTTTTGGTATAGTGTTCCCCGCCAACAGGTGACGCGGCAAATTTAAATTCAGCCTTCCCTTACCCGCGGGTAACGCGTACGGCCCCGGGAAAGTTTTCTACGGGTAAATTAATATCTCAGGGACTACGGAATCTAAGAGGCTGAAATTTTAGGGTAATGATCCCCTGCCCACGCTCAACCTTGCCCATTCAAATTCAGCGTTCCCGCGCTTTTGAGTATCACCTAAGGCCTCGTGAAAATTTTGGCGGGTAAGTTATTAACTCGGGAATCACGGAAAGATATTCATTGTTCAAGGTTTCGAATTCAGCTTTCATGCGGTGGTGCGTGAAATTTTTAATTGTTTTCCAGTGTTTGAACTATTTTTGCATAGGCAGAAGTACAAAGCATGAAAATCATTCATAGGCAATCGTTCGATGGGCTGAATTGCGCAAAACGCATGGTCGCACCGGCTAGTCTGATGCGCGTTGCAATTTATTGCACTTTCTTATAAGTAAGTTTAAATATTCGCTCTGTTGATAGTTTCTAACTTGTTCCCACTGCATTTCCGGGATTGCATGCTCAACGTTCCAGACAGGGGCAACGTTATTTGTACATTGTTTAGTGATGAAAATAACGAAAGCTGCAAATTTCTGGGATCCGTCTAACCACAGCCACTGACCTGGATTTCCAGATATTTCCGGTTTTCCGAATCCCTTCATTTTGTAATGCCATACACTATTATTCAGTCCCACTTAACGTTAAAAAAATTTTTGCTATTCGTAAGATATGCAGATTTCCTTCGTCATTTTTTTTCTGAGATGGCTCGCAGAACATCCAGCCCCAGTGTTTTCGAATTTTTATCTTTTAATTGGGCTGCTGCTGCTCTTGCTCCTGCTCCTGCTGTTGTTGTTAGGTTGCCAGAAGTTTGTTTTTGATGTGCCACGATGACCCGTGACTTCTCCATTTTTGTTCATCTAGTTGTCTCAGTACCTCCTTCCGCTCGAACTCTTTGTTTCGTCTTTCGATCTGATTTCATTAACCCTCATCCTGGGGTCGAGATCAATTTAACCCTCCCTGTCATCAGTGCATTCCTCTGACCAAGAAAATGTATTCATCGGGATTCATCATTTGTGGATCCATTCATTCTGGTTTGTGTCTGTTGTTTTTCTCCGCAATATTTTGTTTTGTCGTTGTTTTGCCTTAAGTCGAAATTGCTTTCACATTTATTCAGAAGTTGTTCCATATGGTAGCAACATTGTTATCAGCAACCCTCCCCACTTCCCATCCGCGGCAAAACTACGAATGGCTTCCTCTTCCTTTCAGTCCTCACTACCAGAGGAGGGGGGGCGGTGTGCGGCTTAGGGGGACTGAGTGACGGGGGCGAATTTGGTCGCTCACTGCCCTCAGCCCTCAGTAACAGGGGAGTGCGGCTTAGGGGGGCTGAGTGGCGCACTACTCTCAGTTTTCACTACCAGGGGGGAGGGGAAGTGGGAAAATTTGATGCTTAGGAAGAAAGGGGGAGGGGCGGGGATGTACATCCACCAACCGCCGCTCACCCCTCCACGCATCCCCACAACCACGGCTGCCTCTCTACTATCTTAGAAATACATTTTCTACCTAGAACGCAAGATTTT